CTCTCTCTCTCTCTCTCTCTCTCTCTGTTTCCCTTTGGATCGCTAGTACCCTGTCGAGACTCACCGCGTGCCGTGTGCGGTGGCCACGTATCCCGGCACGTAACTTCGTGTTTTCTTGCACGGCGGTAAAAATGTTAATTGACAATTGCGTGGCGCCACTGGCCTACCGTCCCTATCTCTCTGCCAGGCTGTTGCACCTCTCCCTACGTACCCGGTCGTGGTGGCAACCTCCACCCGTGTCCCTACGTACGTACGTGTCTCTTATACATTCCCGTTCAAAATCGGGGGTCGCGTGCGGAGCACTGAAATTTACACGAAATGTTGAATTTAAAGAAAATTTTTGGTTCGTTGCTCTCTTGCTAAAAGTGACTGAATTACCGTAAAAGTTCGTCGTGGCCGTTTCGTATCGAAATGAAAGCTCTCTGTCCTGCTTTCACCTCATAAACAACGGGTGTAATAGTGATATATCTCGTCGAAAGAAGCTGTAATACTTGCTCCTTAGTCCATCGAAGATTACGAAGAGTGAACTCTGTCGTATAAACTTATTGGAAATAATTGGCAGCCTACCGATAATCGAAAGTTGCAAGCGTGCCGGTGCTTTTGAACGGAGGTGTACTTACCTAGGTGCGTACTTGCACACTATGCCGTGGATCCCTGTGTATCCGGTGTGTGTTTCATAGTCGTAACGACCTTGCGGGTACCTTGCCGATCGTTTAATTGTAGCGATGGCAGGACGTGAGTGGCACGTCATACGCTCTAGTTGTAAAATCGCTGTCGATATTCAGCGGCGGATCCGCTGCTGGCGCGATTTATGTCGTCCCCCGTGGCAAAAAACGTGTTCCCTTATAGTTCGCGCGGGGGATTTATTCGCGCCGGACGGCCAGTTTCTTCGTGGAATTTATCGGCGGCCGATCGTTTTGCTTCAGTTGGACCACGCGTACCTTTCTGGAAAACTGTTTTCTTCTCTCTCTCTCTCTCTCTTTTTTTAACAGGTAGACATTTTTTGCGAGATGTTCTTAGAGGGATGATTGACGGAGCGTTTGTATTTTAATTTCGGTTCGACGTATCCGAGATTCGTTTACACGGCTGTGGTCTCCCCTAATGGAGGATCTGCGGTCGAGTTCTTGTTACGTAGCTTTCTCTACGTAGCGTGCTCGTTGCGAAGTTTCACTGTCAATCACGAGGTTCATTCATTTTATTACAGTGCCCAGTTTTGAAAGATAAATTGATCCTCCTCGTGTCCGGGATCCCCCTTGTTGAAAGGGTGAGGGAAAGGACAAACAACGTGTACTACAACGTTTCCACGACAGAACAGAAATTCACGAGTTCCTCGACTTTTCAAATTCTGACACTTGCTCGTCTTGCGAAATATAGCGGAGACTTTTCTCCGCAACTAAATCATGGAGAAATGAAAAAAAAAAAAAGTAAAGAAGAAACGACGAAACGATCCTCAGCTGTGCAACATCCCCTCGTCTCGTTAGTAACTCTCGATGTCGATACCCCGCGATCGGTCGGGGGCGTGTGCCGGTAGTTTTCAATTTGATCGCGAACGATTCCCATCGTGCATAATTGGTTCGGCGGCGATCAGGAAGCGAAAAGGGGAAGAGATGGATGGATGGGTGGAGCGACATTGGATAGAGGGAACGGTGTGTATGCAGGGTGGAACGACGACAGTTCCACGTAGTCAACGTGGAATATACTTACGATCTATAATTGGAATTGCCTAGCGAACCGGTGCCATTGCCGGTGGTTGTTACCGCGCGATACGTGCGTGGCATAGATACATGTACACGCGTGTATATTTCTCTCTCCTCTTTGCTTCTTCTGCCTGAGCTCTGTCTTCTGCTTGCTAGTAGAACACAGGGAGGAGGGAAAACGACTGGAGGGCTGTCTTACAGTGTGTTGCTATGTTACGTGGTTACGCTGCCTAGCGGCGTAATGGATTTCGCTCATTACCGGCCCAAGCATCGTCCTGCGCCTCACCTGCGAGTTATATTCCCTCAAGGACAAGCTTCCATGCACCGGGCGCGCGATCTTTCTCCGACTGTTTCCTTCCCGGACGTACGCGCCGCTCGTCATATCTCGCGGGCCGCGTTTATCACGAGCCGCGATGCGTCTCTATCCGCTCCGGTACGTTGAACTTTCGTCAGGAACGTTAAGCCAGGAGTGACGAGCAATGTGTGACACAACGGAAAAATATGTGGACCGTGGTGGACAGTTACGTTGAAAGCTCTCCTCCAATGAACGTATTTATTCTGTCGTAATAAATGTTGAGGAGACACTGTACACTCTGTTGATGCAGAAAGATCTTTATTAGAATGTTGAACGTACGACTTTCTCACAGATCTCCTTTAAGACTCGGGTTTAATAGATTCCCAACGATGCATCCTGAGATTTCATCCTGTCCTTCTGCGAGCGATACTCACTCGCACGCGTACAATACACGCACTGCATACTCTCGCAATTAAGCGTTACTGATCGAAATCATTCTCCGACGACTTGTTCCCCATTTGTTCCCCGGTAACTCTACGCGCGTAAAGACGCGATAATTAAACCTATAAATCGGTATCGCGGCGGCGAGGAGGAGGCAAAGTGCCGGTCATTTCATAACACTTGTAAAGCAAGAACGGGAGGCAGTGGCCTCTTTTATTTCACGGGGCAACGGTAGAAGGAGAGAAAGAGAGTGAGAGAGAGAGAGAGAGAGAGAGAGAGAGAAAGAGAGCAGGAGGCACCGTGTGTGGATCAGGACAGAAGGGTAGGGAGAAAGAAGGAAAGAGGCAGAACAACGTCACGTATACAGATGCAGAAAGTTAAGTAGTAACCAGTGTGGGATACGCTGTGAGGCCTCGGCTGCCTCAACACACATGGATCCGCTGATGGTCGTTTACCCGCGGCCCTCGAGTGACGACCCCGCCCGCTTCAAGGA